TTAATTTTTTAATAATAAAAGACCAAACAAAAAAAAAAAAAATTTACAACCCGAACTCAGTACAACACAATATAACATATTCGGACAAAACCTTAAAAACTTTCAAACACATTTGAGTTGGATTTTGAAAAACTTCTAAATCTGCACTTAATATTTTTTTATAAAAAATACTTAAGTTTTTTAAACAATCTTAATAAAGTGTGTATATATATTATTTGCTCTTAAAATAAATTTTTTACGTGAAACGCTATGATGATTCCTCCACCTAAAATTCTACTCCCTACAAAACTTTGCAAACTCCTGTTTGGGAATGGGTGACCGAAGTTAATAGAAATTTCACCTAAAATACTACTCCATTTTCAAATTATTTTTTAGAGTTGCATTTGCTGTTATCCACTGTTTTGTACTTATTGATTCTTTATTAATAATTTTTGTATTTATTTTGGAATAAAACTTGAATTTTGGCTATTGCTATTGTTAGTGATTTTTATATGTAAGGTAAATAGATATATAGTTGATAAATTTGCATAATTCTGGAAAAAAAAAATATTGGCCCAAACTTAGTCTATTGGGCAATAAAACAATGAATTTATTTGGGTACTTTTCACTATTCTATAGAAGCTCATTAGGTAATATTGCTAGATATATTTAACTTTTATAATTAGTAGACATTTGGTCAATTCCCGTTTTTCTGCCATACTGTGAGCTGAGGGAGATGAAAGAAGATGTCAAGTTGTGTAATTTATTACCAAGTTATACCCAATCAGCGTCAGGTAAGCTCATGTTAACAGGGCAATACAAAGCAAGACGGAGATATGGAGTCATATTTAATAAAAGTGTTCATTTGCAGGTTTTGTTAAGTAAAGGGGTCAATTTACATTACCTTTAAGTAGAAGGGCTGACATGCGACAACAAGTAAAGCAAAGCAGAGGGGCTCAATTGGATCTCTTGCCTGAAGATGAAGGTTGTGCAACTCGGTCGTACCATTTCCGATCCTCTACTGTGAACCCCTTTACTGCGAATCAACCTTATCTGTGAATCCCTCCCTCCTTCCCTCCCAAAATGGCCGATGCTATAGTTTCTTTTGTCCTAGACCAGCTAACGACAACCATCGTTGACAAGGCCTCTGAAGAGGTGGAGCTGCTAGTTGATGTTGAGAAAGAAGTGACAAAGCTTGAAACAAATCTCCGTCTCATCGATACTTTTCTCCGAGATGCTGAGGAGAAGAAAAGAACGGATGGTCTTGTCAAGGAATGGCTAGACAGGCTCAAAGAAGCTTCTTACGACATGGGGGATGCGTTGGATGAGTGGAGAACTACAGTAGAGATCGAAGCACTTGAAGCACAAAATGCTGCTTCTCTGAAGAAGGTAATCTTACATACACTAATTAATCTCTTGCTCTAGATACATTCATTTAATTCAGTTCATTGTAATTATGACGTCTTACAAAACATCAAGTATTGCTAAAATTGTGAGTTAATTACTATCAATTTTAAACAGGCACTATGCAATTTCATTTCGTGCTTTTCTATTCGTCGTGCATATACCCATCGTAAAATTGCCCTCAACATAAAAGAAATCAATCAAAGATTAGATGATATTGTAAAGAAGAAAGAAATGTATCAGTTGCAGCTGATGTCGATGCCGATAAGTAACACAATCAATCATCTTCAACAACGGCCAGAAACTTCGTCTTTGGTGGATGTGTCAAAACTATGTGGTCGGGATAAGGAGAAGGCAGATATACTGAACTATTTGTGGGGAGGGAGTGGTGAAAATGAGGCTGGTGAACTAATCCCTACCATATCTATTGTAGGGATGGGGGGTTTAGGAAAGACTGCTCTTGCACAACTAATATGTAATGACGACAATGTTAAAAAGCATTTTGACAGGGTAATATGGGTTTGTGTCTCTGATCTTTTTTATGAGAAAAAAGTTGCAAGGGCAATCATTCAAGGGCTTGAAAAACTTACTCATGGTGCTGCATACGGCCTAGAATCGGATCCATTGCAGTTCCTTTTGGAGCGGATTTCTCGCTCTATCCAGGGAATGAAATATTTTCTTGTTTTAGATGATGTTTGGGATGGAAATAAAGGAGAGAGGTGGGAAGGACTGAAAACCACTTTCAAATTGGGTGCCCCAGGAAGCAGAATTTTGGTTACTACACGTGATGTTGAAGTTGCAAAAATGATGGGGTCCTCTTCCTCACAAATCATTTCTCTGGAGAAATTGGGTGACGAGCAATGTTGGTCAATAATTAAACATTTGGCATTAGAAGGAAGGGACAATCAAAATTTGGAGAAAATTGGAAGAGAAATAGCAAAGAAGTGTAAGGGCTTACCGCTTGCTGCAAAAACTCTAGGAAGCCATTTAAAGTCCAAAAGAAGTAAACTAGAGTGGCAAAGTGTCTTGAATAGTGAAATATGGAAATTAGAATTAGCACAAGAGCAAATTTTTGCTCCTTTGTTGTTGAGTTACTATGACTTGCCCCCTCCAGTAAAGCAGTGCTTCATGTATTGTGCTCTTTTTCACAAAGACTACGAAATCAATCGTTGGGTAGTAATTGCACAATGGATGGCGATGGGTTATTTAGGGTCGGATGGTAATGCAGATTTGGAGTCAAAAGGGAACGAGTACTTTCACATCTTAGTAGAACGTTCTTTCTTTCAAGATATTGAAATGTTCGAAGGAGAGATTGCTTGTTGTAAGATGCATGATATAGTACACGATTTTGCTCGGTATTTGGGGGAGAATGAGTTTGCAACTAAAGAGATCAACTCGGATCATTCGACTATAGATGGGTCAAAGAATCGTCACTTGACAGTGATGATTGATGAAGGGATCCCTTTTCCTACATCTATTTCTGGTGCAGAAAAATTGCGAGCCCTCAGAACTTTCACTGGAAAGGATGCATTGACTTATGAGGCCTTGGGTAGCTTGTTTAATCATTGCAGACGCTTACGGGTATTGATTTTGGGTTGGCCTGATGGAACTGATCATTTTTGCAAAGAAATTCCTGAAGGAATAGGGAAATTGATACACTTGAGACTCCTTTACTTGCGTGATGGTCGTAAATTAGAAAGCCTGCCTGAAGCACTCTGCAACCTACTTAATTTGGAGTTTTTGGATTTGTTGGGCTGCACAAATCTCAAGCAGTTGCCAGATTCAATAGGAAAATTAATCAACTTGAGGCATCTTTGTACTGCTGGTTGCTCTGCTCTCACTCAATACCCAGAAGGGCTTCAGAAATTGACTTCTCTTAGATATCTAAGTGGGCTCATTGCCAGAGCTGATCGTAATAATGCTAAAGAATTTTGCCTTGCCGATCTTGGAAACTTGAAACACCTCCATGAACTGGCTTTGAAAGTGGTGGGGAATTCAATCGATATGGAGCAGGCTAGAAAAGCTCAACTTCAGGACATCCAGTGGTTGTCTATATTTTTGGCTGGCAGTATTCAAAGAGCAGATATAATTGAAGCCTTAGACCCACATCGAAACATACCAAATTTAGGGTTCTACGGCAACTACTGGTTCTCATGGGGTGCAGTGCAGCTTCCTGATGAATAAAAAAGGTAATCCATTTATCCCATATAAATGCTCTTTTTCAGTTTTCCCAATGAGAAATCATCCTATATATGTGCTCTTCAAATTGATATTTTTCTTCAAACATCGCTGATTTCTAATTAAGCTTCCTCATACTAAACAAATATGGACTTTGCTTTGCGATTGAAATGCTTCTCTATGTGGGATGCAGCTTACTTTCCCTAGGTAATGTTTTATACCATATAAAACAATAATGCTTTCAGTTTTCTAATTTAAAAAGGCATTGTATTGTTTAGAATGCATAGATTAAATCATTAAATGAAGCATAAGCCTCTTAATATTAGGAGTATTTCCCATATAATAGTTTCTATTTTACAATATATACAATTCAAATTATAAAATAAGAGATTCTTTGTAATTATTGCTGTAAAAACAAATATACTTACAGAAGGACCACATGCATGTTTTGTAGGAATTGGACGTGCTTGTGCCAAGGAGAGATTTCAAATGTTGAGTGATGGGCTTTCTTTTATTGTTGGTGAAGAAGGAAGCTTTTCCTATCTACGAAGGTTGTTTTCATTTCCAGCTATTTTGTATTAGGAATATTATGTGCAAGATTGATCCATTATGGGATCGATACTTATGGTGTGCGCCGCTCTCATTTTCCATCTTAGGTGTCAGAATTCAGAATTGGGATTTTTTTATTTTTTGGTGGATTTCTTCTTCTTCTTCTTGTTTTTCAATTCTTTTAAAATTTTTTAATTAAAAAAAAAAAAAGGAACACCCACAAACAAAGCGAGCCATGAATTGAACACGCTTAATAAATCCAGAAGGAAAATTGAATCCATAGTATCCGCATAAATGCGAAAATCTCCGGTAGGAAGAAACATAATTTTATTTACTGAAGGAGTATCCTAATCTTCCTGCAAAATTCTTTTAAATAAGTCATACAAGTATACCATTGAAATACTAACACATCTTAAATACACCCATAGAAGTTCCTGAAACATGAAATAACACACAACGATATGATAAAAGTTGACAACATACCAGTCATTGCAAAATATAAACTTCGACATCAAGGTTGTATAAATAAAAATTCATCATCATCTGCTTTTTCGGCGATTTTTTGCAGCAGCACAGTCTGAACAATACCATTTTCCTTTTAGTTGTTCTTTAAGACCAACACATCCAAAATGAAACCATTCTATCTTGCACTGTTGAAAGAAGCAAGACTTGTGTATCAGATAAATTTAGAAAACAAGGCAAAAGATATTTTCCAAGACAGATAAACAATAAACTCCGTTACATACATCAGGGTTATCACATGCCACCATCTCACCAAAGCTGACTTGGTTGCAGAAACAGTATGTGGGCTCATTTGGATCCACTGGTAAATCTAGCTCCATGCCAGTTGAATTAGCACCAACAACAGCTGTTGCTACTTCTGTTGCTGCTGCCGCTGCTGCCATTGCTGTTGCCAGCCGTGTTCTGCACCATAGGAGGGTTCAAGTAAATGTCATGGTTTGAAATTTGTCACAGGTATACCAGAGAAGCATGTCCAGTGTGCATGAATAAGCACTTTATTTTTCAAGCCAAGCTTTCTGCTGTGGGGAGAAAAACAAGAGAATATTGTTTGGGTCACATGGTGTGGTTTAGATCACTCATAGCTTAGAACCAATTTTGACCCAGACCAACTGGATCACAAAATTTTGGAACTGTGATAAACTATGGTTCCATATAGAACTAGACAAAATCACTTGATCCACTTCAGGTCAGGTCAATTTTGGGGTGATCTCAAACAACTTGCACAAGTAATAGAGAAAATAACTTCCTCAGGAAGGCGAAAGCAAGAATCAACAGCACAATAACAGCTAACTAAAACAAGTTTAAGCAATCCATAAGGAAACCAAATATAAGGATATCTAGGATGAGTAGATACTTTTTACGCCCTCCTCTTCCACCTTCACTACTTCTTCCAGATTTCGCACTGCCATCAAGACTTGTAGCAGGCAAAACAGCACCAACAGCATTCTCTCTTTCTGTCAAAAACCATACACATATATTCCAAGTTCAAAATCTAACCAAGGTGGACATACTTCAGAACTGATAAAAGATGTATTTGAAGATTAGTAAAAAATGAAAATTAGTAACACACCACGCCGGAGCTCTTCATCAAATCTTTTCAAATGTTGATCAAGCTGTTGTATGTGTGTATCTACCTGAATCATGATTACATCACAAACAGTCAGAGTATTGAATGATAACCGTGCAAAGGAGATTAATCCCTGTCATAACCCAATTTTGACTGAGGGACTAAATGCTAAAATCAGAAGTCAATGGACTGTTTTTGTAAAGTTGGAAACTTGAAGGGGTTAAGATCTCTTTCTACCGCACCCCTTCTCTCATCAACTCCAGCATGATGCCAAGAAGATTTTCTTTGAAGATAAGCTCAACTAATTGAAGGATTTGGATAAAGATGGACAAACCATAAGTCATCAACTCCAAGGAGTCCAAAGTCGATTCAAATTGGGAGCCCTGATATTTTGAAGGTATGAATCTAGCCTTAAAAGAGGAAAGATGTGTAAAGACTAGATAATTTTAAGATTCCAATTTCAAATAGGATTAGATTATTATCTGTAATTTTAGGAATTGGGATTAGAATTTAGAGTTAAAAAAAGGATTGGAGTCCTCTCTATTTTTGTATAAAAGGGGGGGCACCTTCGGCTTTGAGGAGGAGGAGAATTGAGGAGAAAATTTTGAGGGAAAATTGGGAGAAAAATCGAGGGAGAAGAGAAGAGAGTTGGCGAGCCTGGAAGGAACATTGGAGAGATTGAGAGAAAGTGCAGCAGCTTGTAACCAGATCTTCAAGGAAATAAAGCTTGATTTTTCATATTTTTCAGGTTTGCACTGTTAATTTTTTTTTTTTTGGTGTTG